TCCTGCCCTACAAGGGTGTCTCCAGCACAGAAGTTCTCCCATTGAAGACACAGCTGGTCCTCACAGCCAATTGGCCTGGAGGTTAATTCCTCCCAGTGATAGCAACAGCAATCAAGGCTTAACTACAACAAGACTGTGCACACACCCACAAAGTGGTCCACCAAGAGTGTCCACCTCAGGTGATTGGAGAGGCTGATATGCTGGCCCCTATAGGACATCTAGCACACAAGGCCACTCTATCAACACAGGGAAGCAGCCAAAATGCAGAGACAAAGAAACATGTCACAAATGAAAGAAATGGAGGAAAGCAAACTACTGGATATAGAGTTCAAAACCACGGTTATAAGGTTAGTCAAGAATCTTCTAGAAACCTCTGAGAAATATAGTGAGACCCTCAAAAATATGAAAAAGGACCAATTAGAAATTAAGCATACACTGACTGGAATAAAGAATAATATACAGATATCCAAGAGCAGACTAGAGGATCCCATGAATCAAGCCAAAGATTTGAAATACGAAGAAGCAAAAAACACCCATCCCGAACAGCAAAAAGAAAAAATAATACAAAAATATGAAGATAGTGTAAGGAACCTCTGGGACAACTTCAAGCGTACCAACATCCGACTGATGGTGGTGCCAGAAGAAGAGAGAGAGCAAGATATTGAAAACCTATTTGAAGAAATAATGACAGAAAACTTCCCCTAACTTTCTTTCTGGTGAAAGAAAAAGACAAGTCCAGGAAGTGCAGAGAACCCTAAACAAGAGGAATCCAAAGAGGACCACACCAAGACACATCATAATTAAAATGCCAAGGGCAAAAGACAAAGAGAGAATCTTAAAAGCAGAAAGAGAAAATCAGTCAGTTACCTACAATGGAGTACCCATACGACTGTCAGCTGATTTCTCAACAGAAACTATGTGGGCCAGAAGGGAGTGGCAGGAAATATTCAGTGATGAATAGCAAGAACCTATAACCAAGATTATTCTACCCAGCAAAGCTATCATTTAGAATTAAAGGTCAGATAAAGAGCTTCACAGATAAGAAAAGCTAGAGGGGTTCATCACCACCAAAGCAGTATTATATGAAATGCTGAAGGGTATTCTTTAAGAAGAGGAAGAAGAAGAAAAAGGTAAAGTTAAAAATTATGAACAACAAAGTGACAACAAATACATATCTATCAACAAGTGAATCTAAAAATCAAGTGAATAAAAAATATGATGAACAGAATAAACTGGTGAATATAAGTAGCATAGAAAGGGAGTGGACTGACATTTCTCAGGGGAGAGGGGGTGTGGGGGGTTTGGGAAGAACTGGACAAAAATCATACACCTATGGATGAGCACAGTGGGGGTGGGGTAAGGGTAGGGGGTGGGGTGGGAACTGGGAGGAGGGGAGCTATGGGGGAAAAAGAGGAACAACTGTAATAATCTGGACAATAAAGATTTATTTTTTTAAAAAAAAAGACTGTAACAGAAATCCTGCCTGAGCCTGGCCTGTCAGCCTGCCCTACAGATTTCAAACTGGCTAGCCCTGGCAATCATGAGCCAGCCTTTAAAATAAATCTATATCTGTGCCTATGCCTCTATCTCTCTCCCTATGTTTCACATATATTCTAAGGGTCTGTTTTGTGCTTCTCTGGAGAAGCCTGACTGACACACTCTGACTCTATTTACACAATCTGTGTGATAGTATGAACGTTTATCTGACCTCTGAATGCTTCAGTTTCTTCATTGAAACATGGAGAAAATTTCAGTATAAACCTTTATAGAGATATCCGAAGGTTAAACAAAAATAATCCATGTAAAGTTCTTAGTATGGGGGCTGGCACACAATAAATATTTGATAAGTATTAGATGTCACTGTGTTGCTATTATTATAACAAACAAATATTGATGTTGAACATTTTTAAAACCTTAGGTTAAATTTTAATTTACATTAAAAAAATAAGAAATTTTCTTACATCTATCTTATACTTGAAATGCAAGGACAGTTGGTCAGATACTACCCTGGTCATATTCAAATGTTCTTCCCTATATAACAGAATCAGTTCTACCAGAATTATTCTTATCAGTGTCCTGTCCAAAATTAACCAAACCCTAAAATCTGCCAGGCAGAGACTTAATAAAAATACTTAATGGAATCAAATAAAATGAAGATATACAAATGAAGAACATTAACAATCAAAATAAGCTACTTCACTCCTAGTTTTCTAGAAAACTTCATTATACAGAAGAAGGTGAAAGCTATGCCCCTAATTTGTAATTTATAAATAACCAATTTTGGTTTTAATTGTACTATAATCATAAATGCTCTAATTTGAGATGAAATCCTTTTTAAGAGCAAGTAAATACAAAAATATGTAAGAAGAAAATTTAAGAAGAATATATCACTTGTCCATAGTAAATGTTTATATTATTAGTTGTATATAAGAAAAATAAAGAATGATATAAATTTACTAAATTGGAAGGTTTGGTCCTTTATTAAAAATATTTTTTTTATTGATTTCAGAATGGAAAGGAAAGGGAGAGATAGAAACATCAATGATGAGAGAGAATCATGGAACCACTACCTCCTGCATGCCTCTTCTGGGGATCAAGCCCAAAACCTGGGCATGTACTCTGACCAGGAATCTGAGCATGAGATCTTGGTTCCTTGGTGGCTGCTCAAACACTGAGCCACACCAGCTGGACAAACGTTTGATTCTTTGAGATTAAAGTACTTGCCTAAACAAATTTTGTACTATGTAGACATAATTCTAAATTAGAAATAACTTCTATTGGAGCTACTTTTAAAAGTTTAGATTTTTTCTAAACCATTGTAGAGACATTACTAAAGATATGAAAAATTATAGTAATTTTTAATACTTTCAATCATAATCTCTAAATTATTTAAAAATTTACAGTCATTTTTACTTCTATCATAATTAATCTACGAGTTATTTTCTTGTAATTTGTTATAACTCACCTATGAGAAACTGCTCCCCAAGCACCATGCTTGTTTGTGAGAATGTTAAGGATCTTCTGTTTCAATTGATTTGCTGTAACGTGATCTCTATGTTTTGCAGCACTAATGAGATGGTCACACATCTTTTCTTCCTCTCTCCTATCAGCAGCATACTGGGCACACTGCGACTATGTAAAGAAATGCAAACAATGTATGACTTCAACTGTGCATTAGTAAGGAATGCTATGTAATTTTAAGGTAAATGCTAATAAACTCAGATAATATAATCTTTTGAAACTTTATTCTAAAGAACACATATAGTCCCCTTTTAAACTTTTAAAAATGTGTTCTTTGTATTTATACATATGTGTATGTAAAATAATTTGGATAATGTTAGCTCTCTGTATTCATGGCCATTGGTATTGATAACATAGCTAATCATTCTCATTGTGTATCAAAAGGTTCAAGATGATCATTTCTTTAAGCATGTTTGATTTTTTAAATAAGTTTGGTATAGGGTGGATTGACTACAAATTTTGATATTACTAAGTATGTAATGTAATGAGTCATATAAGAAAGGAAAACTATATACATCTAAATAAATTCATATAACTAGTTCACATTCATCATTACTATGGAAAAAGCTGTGTCATGGAAGGTACTTGAACATATCTCATCCTCTATCTATTGTCATAAACTATTATCACAAGTCATTATAACAAATTAAGAAGAATTCATTCATATTCTAATTCATCTTTTTGTACAGGGAATCACCAATTAGTACAATGATCTGCCTCATAATGAGGTTAATATTTCATTAGTTCATAGGAAAATACAATTAAAATTTCATTTTTCTTCCTTACCAATTGCAGTGGTTAACTAAGAAAAACTTAACCATGAAACATTCATCTCACATTAAATATATTTTTTCTCTTAATTAGAGGCTTATATGGAAGACAGAAATTCCTCAAAAAGTCCCAGTGAAATTCCATGACTTATAAAATCTTTTGTAATTTAAAAAATAACTGGTGAACACACAACAACAACAACAACAACAACACATGAATGCATTTACTAATATAGCTTTAACTAAAAATACAACACACACACATCAATGCATTTACTAAAGTAGCTTTAACTAAAAAACACACACAAATTAAACATTTGGGTTAATAAGCAATGTACAGTCATTAAGCAACAATAGTAAGACTCTCAAAATTAAGTTTAAATCAGTATTTTATGTATACATAATCTAAAAATCACTGAGTCTTCATATCCTTCTTTATAACTTCTTAGCACTTTTTGCCATCAGTCTCAATAAAGTACTCTCATCCCCAAGGGGGTGAAAACTGGTGTTGGGTGAATGTGAAAAAAACCTTACTATTTTAAAATATAAAGCACAGATGTATATACAGTACAGAAATAGATATGCAGCATAATGAGGGTAATAAAATATCATTGGGAAATAATTAGGATAAAAATTGTATAAAAAGATTTCTTAGGGGGCAATAGTGCAAAAAAAGGTTGAAAAGCACTGCACTTAGCTTAATAGGATTTTGAGTAGCTATGTGTTAAAGCTAGTAACTAATATCTGGCTTCATAAAATTCCATTTTAAATGTTTTCACATGACAAATTTTAATTTGCATATATCCCTCTAAAATATCTTCTATTTTAAGAAAAGCAAGATATTTTAGAGAGATATATGCAAATTAATATTTGTCATGTGAAAACAGTTAATACAATAATCCTATATAATAAAAACCTAATATGCAAATAAATGGAACAGCAGAAGGACCAGCAGAACAACCAGTCGCTATGATGTGCACTGACCACTGGGGGGCAGATGCTCAACGCAGGGGGGAGCTCCTGCTTTGAGCATCTGCCCCCAGAGAAGGAGGTGACTGGTGGCAGCGATCAGGGGTGACAATCAGGGGGTGGGGCCAGCCAGAAGGCGGCACCAGGCCACTAACCAAGGTGGGAGCCAGCAGGGGCCCCACCAATTGGCCCACCTGCTGGCTGCCCCAAAGATGGCCCTGATCCCTGGCTAGGACTAGGGACCCTACCCTATATATTGGGAATAGTCTCTTAGATTTAAAAATTAAAACCTGGCAAGGCTACTCAAATACTGAAAAAACAGGATGATGCAGCAATGACATACATGAACTCTGGCTAGCTAGCACATTTTGTAGTTGGCCCTGATTCTGACACTTATAAACTCTGTGACAAAGCCAATTACTTAACTTCTCTCTGCTTCAGTTTTTCCAATAAGATGGGGAAATGGTACTATTGCCTCAGAAGGATCATGTTATGTACTATTTTTAAAAAAATATTTTTATTAAGTTATTACATATGTGTCCTTATCCCCATGTTATTTCCCATACACCCAATCATGTCCTCACCCCGCTGTTATATGTGTCCATTGGTTAGGCCTATATGCTTGCA